ATTCTAGCCACCCCAGTCTAATATCATATTCACACATTAAGTCGTTTGGTTACACATCAGAACAAGTATGATTCAACATTGTAATTGTTCATAACTATTTCACTTTTATATTAAGATGGTGGATTTCACAACAATTAAAGCAACACCCTCAACTGTGACCATCACTATGAATCCATCTCCAGCTACATCAACCATTACTGTAACCCCTACGGTCGCCACTGTAACACCTTCAACTGCTACTGCAATGCCTTCAACTGTCACTGTAACCTCTACATCGACCACTGCCCAAAGACCCTCTCTTGATGATGAGCCCTGGGAGATAACTGTTTATGTTCTCACAGCTGTAATAGGTAACTTTTTTTTTGTTTTGGTTTTTTTTCCTTGTTTGCTCTACCATTGAGATAAAATAATTTTCTTACTTGTATTTTTAATTTTCAGTACTTCTGATCATCCTTTTCATCATAATTACTTACGGTGTAAGAAAATTTAAAAGAAGACAATTAAGACAATTCCGTCTGCATGACTTGCCTCTGCAAGAGCTTCCTAAAGATCATTCTGCTTAATTTGGTACTTTATTTATATTTCAGTCATTCTTCTAATAATATCCTCATATGCCATCTACAGAAGAAAACATTCCATGAGAGTCTTTGCAAGCAATATCTGCCCTTGTGCTACTGAAAACATTGATTTTGACCGAGCATTTCAATCAGAACTTTAAATATATGTGCACCTCATTTTTTTCATTGTAGATGTTCTGGCAAAATGTGAATGGACCCTCGAAAGATTGCTAAGATTATTTATTGTATTTACTCAGTGTGTTTTGGTCCTTCTTCTAATATACCAAAGAATTCTCAGGCAATTTTTCCCACACCAACAGAATCGACAAAATCCCCCACCTCTTCAACCAAATCAACAGCAACACCACCCAAGACCTCAACCCCACCCACATCCTCAACCTCATCCACGATCTCAACCTCATCCACAACCCTCTTTACACACTCCACAAAATGTACCTCAGGAATTAAGAAGATCTCCAAGACAGCGGAAAGCTCCCTCAGGATTAAGTTTATAAATGTTTATATACATTATAATTTTTATTGCACTGTCTCGAGTATAGGTGATTGTTTATTTGTTCATGTGAGGTTCAGATTTAATTGTTATGCTTGTGTTTTTTTAGACCTTACCTGCATTATTACTGTTTTCATGTGAACGATATTTCATTACCATGCTTTGAGTATATTAGTAATGTCAGTTGGCTTTCCTTGAAAAAGCTAAGAGTGTTTTTCTTAAAATCATTTGTCAAAACATATGCGCTTATTGATGATTGCTTTTATACGTATAGATTTGAAGTTAAGTTGTATGAAACGAAACAAATTTAATTAGTTTTGTATTACAATCTAATCTACACAAAAACTTTTTTTCTAGCATTTACCTCAGCATACTATATTCTTAATATACATTCACTTTAAATACATTCCAGTGATTTGTATAATGTATTCCAGTGATTTTCTTGAAATATATGTATGTACATGTATTATATATTTTTTTTAGATTAGTAAATTATTAATGGTAGATTTAGGTCATTTTTCCCTTTAAATTGTGAGTCACTCATGAGTTGATGGTGTTCTTAATGATGTCATCTTTAAATTTACATTCACAACTTAATCAATCTGTACTATTTATTGAAAACACTCCTTTTTTAAACAAAATCATTTTCTACCTCATATTGTTAATATTAAAAGATTCCTACACCAGTTTGTATGTATGTGTGTTGTATTTTTAAAAAGTAGATAGATTTGTTCAGTTTATATTACCTCATATTGTTGATATTAGCAGATTTCTGTCATTTTTTTTTTAACTATTATAATACATTATTTTTAACAACCTTACACCAGTTTGTATGTATGTCACTATGTGTGTATTTTAAAAGTAGATGGATTTGTTCAGTTCATAAAAACAATTCACAGCTTAATCAATCTGTTCTATTTATTGAAAATACTCAGGGTTCTTAAAATCATTTACTACTTCATATTCTTAATATCAGCAGATTCCTGTTATTTTAGTCATTTTATACAAGTTATCGCCAGTTTATGTGGTGTATGTTTAAGTAGATAAATTTGTTGTATTTTTAAGTAGATAAATTTGTTTAGTTCATGAAAAACATTTTATATATTCTTTTTTTTTTGTTTTCTTTTTGTGTGTATTTTAAAAGTAGATGGATTTGTTCAGTTCAATCTGTACTATTTATTGAAAATACTCAGGGTTCTTAAAATCATTTACTACTTCATATTCTTAATATCAGCAGATTCCTGTTATTTTAGTCATTTTATACAAGTTATCGCCAGTTTATGTGTTGTGTTCTTAAGTAGATAAATTTGTTCAGTTTATGAAAAATATTTTGTATATTCTTTTTTTGGTTTTCTTTTTAACAGAAAAATGCTCGTTTTTTTTTTTTTTTATAAATATGCATTGTAAGGTTCATAGACTACTGCTGGTCAATTATGGTAATGACTGGTTCTCTTTTTACAAATCAAGTTGTATATTTGAAATCTATTGAGAAATAAATATTGTTTATTTAAATTAACACTTCTTTATATATGAACATATGATTAATTTTCTTCCACTCTGAATTAAAAAATGAATATTGAAGGCATGGTTATGCTTAAAATTTCACAGACAAGAAAAGTATAAATTGGTGATTTGATATTTTCAGTATTAACCAATATTCATCTTAAAAATTAACTATATCTCCTCAGTGTCGGTCATAGTGTAGATCAAACTCGTATAGCACACATACTTGTATGCAAATTGAAAATATATAATGGTCAGTTGAGAACGTTTGTCTACTTCGAATTAATGTTTACAATAAATATCTGTTTAAATACACAGCTATCTGTGAGAATGTTAGCACACATTTCATTACTTAGTTACACTTGTATTGGGGTTTATTTTTAAATACCTGTCTGAATTTTAAAGAAGTCTGCAGTCTGCGTCACACATTCCAGAGCGAAGTTTGCAGATTTAGCGCTCATTTTGTTGCATAGTTACAGTCTTGTTGCATAGTTGCAGTCTCGTTGCTAAGCTGTGTGACGTCATTCCTCAGGAGTAAGTCTGTGAAGTCTGTTCCAGGAACCTTAGTTTGATACTACTAATCTTGACAATTAATTATTTCAAGAATTAACTTAGAGAACCTAATATTTATACTTTGTATTGAATATTTTAACATTTATACTTTGTAATGAATATTTTAACATTTTTGCTTGTAATGAGTATTATTATTGGTTCGTTTGTATATCACGAATTAAGAACTTTGTATAGAAATTCGGATAGACCGGGTTTCTCTAAATTAAAACATTAAAAAATCGAATAGACCTGTAATTTCAAGCAATACACTAGGGAAGTATTGTTACGTGTAAAAATGAATACGATTTGCTGGTGGATGTAATTTAAAATGTTTTTTGTTTTGTTTTGTTTTTTTTTTGCAGGAAATCAAGAAGACGACCAAAACCACTAAAGAGGAAAATAAACAAGAGGTATGCTTTAAATTATATTACAAGTTTCATTAAGTTAATGTGGGACTTATGAATTTGTTTAGAATTCAAATTTACTTTTTGCAGACTACATCACAAAAAAGGAAAATATTCACTAAGAGGCCCTGGGACCATGAATTGGCCGAATCTGTAAGTTTCGCATTACTTTAAAGGTTTTATATGGAATAAAAATGACATAGGATACCTCTTAAAGAATCCAGAATTTGAAACATCAAGCTACAATGTAACAGCTTTAAAAATATTAATGCAGTCACTATTAATTTAAAAGGCCTCAACAAGACAAGATGATGGTCTTATATTGTCCTTCATTTGACTAATAAATACATTCCAGGTTCTTAAAAAACATTTACATGTTTGTAAGTTTCAAGTTTGAAAATGTGACAACTTTTTTTTAACATCGACATGAGTAACAAATCTAAGTTGAAAAGTGCCAAATTTCCCAGAAAAATTAAAGGAATCGGAATTTCCTGGTAATATGCACATCTACACATTGTGTCCTAAATATCTGCAAAGTTTGACGAAATTCTGTGCAGCTGTTTAAGGGGAGTTTCGCTGCACATCTACACATTGTGTCCTAAATATCTGCAAAGTTTGACGAAATTCTGTGCAGCGGTTAAAGAGGAGTTTCGCTGACAAAAAAACAGGACTGACTGACGGGTCAAAAACATTACACCCTACGCAACTTGGAAGAGCGCCTAAATGGAACCACAGATGCATATATAGAAAGCTATCTTAAAATATATATGTTCGGTAACCACGTTAACATATACTGAAACGCAAAAGAAACGCAACAAGCAGTAATCTACAAATATTTGAATTTTTTATCTAATAATTTTCAAAAATGAATAAGGTAAGCTTAAACTCGATTTAAAAACATCAGAGATTTGATAAAAATGTTAAATGATTATCTTTTAACTTTAGAAAATAACGCAAGGCTGATTAACCCCCCCTCCCCCCCGCCGGCCATTTCATAACAGCGTGCAAGACTGCCATGCACAACAATTGCAGCTTGATTTCTACGATGCAATAGGTTCATCAATCTCGAGATCTGAACAAAAGAAATATTCATTGCCATTTTTAAATCCTGTTTTTAAGATGACGATGTCGAATTTCCTCTAGCGTAGCGCAGTGTAGTAACCTTTGGACTTCCGGTCCAAGGACTGTCATTCTTGCTAATGATACGTAAGAGCCTCTTGAGGCGTGATGTATTGCATATTTGCATCTGCAACTCTCCATCACCTTTATTTTGAGATTTTCCAACTAGAGCAATAAAAATGCGTACTTAGTCATTTTCAGGAAGCCTTGGCATAGCTTACGGAAAAGAAAGGATAATTTATTTTTCGGAAAAACGCTGCATTACTTATGATGAACAGATACAAACCATTAAAATTCCATATTATTGCCAAATGTTTTGTTACACATGCAATTTTTGATTTCTGTTAAGCAGACTCAAACTTAACTTCCGGTAATGGTATGAAAATCATTCAACCGTTAAATTACCGATATTTACAAAGTTGAAGGTATCCTTACTTTTTAGATATAAAATTATATCCTATATATAATATTTCCCCCTAAAATAGGAAGTTGCCTTTCAGTATATCAGGACCTTTGATTCCCTTAATTTAACATTTAGGGTAAAATGACACATTTTAAGGATTAATTAATAAAACCAGAAGTCTCTGATGAGACTGTAGCTCTACTGGTTGTACTTATAAAGGAAGATAAAAGTAGCATTTGGATTTGAAACTTTGCAACAGCAATAAATAGAATAATGATCCTTGGTTTAGTCTGTTTTTGTGGCAAGATTTATTGCAATCAGAATAAAACTGTAGGAGGAGTAGCTTTTAAAATAATTTTACAGAAATTTCGATTTAAGTAACCATGGCAACATCATTCAAAAAAATCAAAAAGCAATAATGATAATTATGTATCTCAGTGTAGTCTACTTGTATGGCAAGTTATACTGAAATCAGACAAAACATGTAGGAGGAGTAGCGTTTTGAAACAGAAAGTATTTCAAAAAAATTCTATTTTAAGTAACCATGGCAACTCGAAATAAAAAAACCGAAACAGAATTATATATCTTTGTGTAGTATACTTGTGTGCCAAGTTATATTGAAATGAGATCAAAACTGTAGGAGGAGTAGCATTTTGAAAGTTTTCAAGGAAATTTCTATTTTTAGTAACCATGGAAACACTGTTCATCGAAATCAAAAACGGATATACAGAATTATATATCTTAGTGTAGTCTACTTGTGTGCCAAGTTATATTGAAAAGAGATCAAAACTGTAGGAGGAGTAGCGTTTTAAATATATATCACAGAAATATTTAGTAACCATGGCAACACCATTCATCGAAATCAAAAACCGATATACAGCATTATGTATCTTAGTATAATCTACTTGTGTGCCAAGTTATATTGAAATCACACCAAAACTGTAGGAGGAGTAGCATTTTTAAAAATTGTTTACAGATGGACAGGGAGACGAACGGACAC